CATGCGTGTTTAGATTGCGGACTCAGATTTCGATCCAGATAGTCTCGATAATTAGGCTACTGATATTCCTGGCTAGCTGCCCGAATTGCTCTATTTATTCTTTTGTTACCATTTAACTTAGAGGCTATAACACCCAACTCCCATACACTCTATCCAAATTCAAACGTGAGACATGTTTTTTAAAGAGCATACGGCATATCTACTCCATTTAAAATTAAGAATCGTGAAAGAACTGTTTTAATATAAAATGTTAAACTATTTAGTGAAACCACTACCTTATATTTAATTTTTTTATTTAATTATAATAATAATAGTGATAAATTCAAACCTGGTAATGATTTAATAATTAAAACTCTAATACAATATTAAAGAATTATTTTAAATTAAAAATTTAAATTATTGAATGAGCTCTCAAATATTGTTTTATATTATTCTTTAATAAAAATATAATTATTCATTTGGTTTGGCATTGTATCACCCTAATTGGAATTTAAATGTTTTTAATTCATTAAAAGAAGAAGAAGGAGGAATTAATAGCCTATTGTTATGTGTCTTAAGTTGTGTGTTAATATTTAAGTTTTTTAGAAACTCAATTATTTAATTTTATAAGTTCTGACTGCACCTTACTATTAACTATGTAATCGTCCCAAACGAAGGCTTTGAGGAGGAAATAAGATATGAAACAATTAGTTGATGATTTCATGGATCAAATGGACAAACATAAGTATAAAAAGACAACCTAAGTAGGCAAACACACACTGATTCTTCCATGGACCATAACTTTTAAACTAAATTATCTAATTGGCACGTATTATATAAATTCTAAAAGCTAATTCAAAGATCTATTATGTGGTTAGTCACGAAAGACATAGAAGCTGTTTTTTATGTCAAAATTCACTCTAAAAATCTACTTTCAAACTTTTTTATGATTCAAACCCGTAAAACAAGTTCAGATTGCTATTATTTAGGGATTATAGCTTTGCTATTTATCTTTTTTATTCATGTTTTGGTTTTGATATTTTTGAATTCATTTTTTATTTTTCTATTTCGTCTTTGGTTGTTTAAGACAGACTATTTTTGTTATATTTTAACTTTTAGCCATTGATTGTCAATGATTACAACTTTGTTGTGTTTTTGAAGGGTTAAATTTTAAAATTAACAAACCCTATATCTCACTAAATGCTGCGTCAAAAGAGATAGAAAGGTCTCATTCCCAATAAGGGCTTCGAGGAGGAGAAGGGAGAGATCTCCTTCTGACCCTCCCTTGACCGATGAAAAAATGTAAAATAAAAAAATCATAACCTCGTAAAAGTTCCGAATGACATTCAAAATTTGATATTATAACCACATACTTCCAACCTCCATCCATTAGTATTGCTCTGCGGCAAATATATAGTTCTCTAGGTAGCTGTTCTCCTTCTTTAATTTCACTGTTAGTCCGTTTATACGGTATTGTATCAATATCATAACAACATTGTTTTTGCTTTTTTAGAGAAAAAATAGCAATCTTCTGAGTTTTGCAAGATACTTGATATCCTGCTCTCTCTCTTTTTTTTTCTTTTTTTATAAAAAAAGAAAAAAATAGGTGCCAAGCCAACCAATAAAATCCAATTAACAAAATTTAGGTTAATTAAATAATGCATGACAGACCAAGTACATTATTGGATCAGAAAACATGCATGCTGCAGCAAGATAGCTAATGTCTTTAGACATCTATTGATCATAAAAAAAGAATTGGGTGTCTTTAATTAGACATCTATTTTCCTTTATCTAAGCCTGTCTAGCCACTTCTAAAGTAAAATAATATATGTAGCAAACAAACCACATGACGTGATCCAGGCACAGGACACCATTAAGCTCCAATTTACATAGAATTTCGATTCCTCAAAAGCAAAAGTTAGCAACAACTGATTTGAGCCGAATCAGAGGAGATTTGTTTTAGCCAATGTGGTCTCCTCTAGTTTAAAGTTTGAATTTATGATCAGTAGTTGACACTTGCTATTTGTTTAATTAGAATAGTCTCTACATCAAAGGGTCTTCTCATCCAAAATTCTAGATCTGTCTTGCAATATTTAAACATCTTTGCTTAGTTTAAGGGTATTAGATAGATCCATATATGTATTCACCATAAACTTATGCAAAGTACTTTTGATACAATATGATATTCAGGATATACAGTTGGCACCAATAGTCAAATTAAGCCTTAACCAAAATAATTTATGGAGCAGAAACATCCTTCAATGTTTTTTATGCCTCTAAAACACCACAGGCAGACCTAGATATAGTAGTGATGATGCATAGCTTATAATTAGTAGTAGTAAAGACCTATCTTGATCTTGAAGATTAGTGAAAAAATTTTGTTCGTACGCGAGGATATCATAAGGCCATAAAAACAAAATTAAAACGTAATCAAACCCAAAAAGCAAAAAGTTTTAAACCTAGACTGGAACAGCAGATCAATTCATTAATTTCTGTGCACAACCATGGTTTTCATTTTCTCGGAAAAGAATGTCTTCATTTTCTGTAGCGTGGGATTTGATAGAAAGCACTTCAGTGGTCAATAATAATGCTTGCAGCCGCAGGACTGTTTTTTGTGCACTGTAGTGCTTTAAATCCAATTTTAATGCAAGTTCATTAATGTGATGGATTTGCAACAAACTTTTGGGCAAAAGCCTACCACCAAGCACATAAAACAAAGAAGCAAGCTGTCCTAGGGCAAAATAAGTGTACCATGCAAAGGATTCCAATCATTCTGCCCTAAATCCCTCAGGGCCAAGGCAGTGTGCCATCAAAATCGTACCTAGATAGCATTATCTTGAGCAAGGTGGGGTAAACCCACCTCCCAAATAATTAAAATCGATGCCACCGTAATGATTGATTTAAGTAATATATATATATATAATTGTTTAACTAAATAATTTTAATTTTAAATTTTTATATATAAATATTTTTTTTGAATAGTTAACTCTGTGTTATATATATATATATATATATATATATATATATATATATATGATAGAATAACAAATAATTAATTTAAATCTTTAAATCTGATATACTTTCAAAGATAATTAAAAAAAAAAATTGATGCCGCTAGAATTGGAGAATTCACATTCCTAGCAGTTAACAGTAGTGCAACTTCACCAACCACAAATGTAACATCCATAATAATATCATGATAGTTCGCGTCCGTGAATATAGACAATCTGAGATTTTTATATAATTGTTGATGATAAGAACCTGGTAGCCAGCTAATTTTCTTCTGTGAAAATTTTAATTTTGTCCCAAAAGTATATTTATATATGATCTATCTTCAATTCAGTTCCAAACCTCATATTTTATCAACCTTTTATCAAATATAATAAAAAAAATTAGACAATGTAATTTATTTATTCATTATTAACGACAAATAACAGATTTTGTCTAATTTACACATGATTTGTTCGTGCTGATTAATTCTTCTAAAAATGCTTCAAAATAAACCCCAATGGAGTTTGACGTATAACTTTAACGTCAAAATAACAACATAGGAAAGATTATTCATCAAAGTACATAACATTTTCATCCATAAAGAACATGCTATAATCGAGTTAAAATCGTACATTAGAGAATATCAATGCTTTATTTTGACACCTTTTTTTGAAGGAATTAACAAATAGTTAGTCTAATGTTGATAATATTTGGAATAAAATTGATAACATCAATAGATTTGAAACTTAGTTTTATATATATATATATATATATAAGGAATTAACAAATAGTTAGTCTAATGTTGATTATATTTGGAATAAAATTGATAACATCTGTAGATTTGAAACTTAGTTTTTATATATATAAACTGTAAAGAGCTACTAATCACTATATTCAATAACTATCAAATTTAATGTCTCATTTTATGGCAAGTTGTTGGCATCACTTTCTACTTCTTAGCTCTTGTCATTGCTTACATTAGCAATTGCCTTTAGTTCTTCTGCAGTGCACATTTTTATTTTAAAATTACAAAAACTCTCATATTAATGATTTCTCTTTTCAAAAAATTTCGAGTTGAAACACTTTCTTTGGAAAAAAAACAAAAAAAATTACAAAAACTCTTTGCTAGTCAACGTTATCCATCAGTTTCGTCCACCTTTAATTAAATTTGGAGAATAGATACATTAATTTCATTTGGTTTTAGCATTTTACGATGGGCCGAAGACCACTAATAAAAGGAAAAGTTCACTAAGAAAAAACCCTCGGGCTTATGATCTTTTCTCTGGTCGCTCTTGTTTATGTGAGCCGTTTTCTATTTTGTCTTTTCTTGCAGATATGACTTTTTTTTTCCCTGTTATTCTCTGTCTGACCATCTCAAGCTACTAAAACAACTTGAAAATTTTTAAAAAAGAAAATAATAACAATGATAATAAAGAAAGGAAAGGCATTGCCTAATTATACCGTATGCTGTTAATCTCAACCATTCACAGTACATATATTAATTTTATATGACTGAGGTTCAAAAATTGAAAATATATTAAAAAGGTCAAATACCATTTCAAATATCATTTGGGGACTAATATGAGGTTACCTTATCATGACTTTATTATCAATCTAAATTCAATTATCTTGTGCCCATTCGCAAAATAGTACATTTGTTTCTTTGCTGCGCATGTCTAGCCATTTCACGGCTTCCGTACATGGTATTACGGCAACTTGTATCAATTTATTCGAAGCCCAGCTAGCCAATGACAATTAAAGTTTCATGCCTATCTTCTAGTCAGTAACCAGCTGGTTACATGCCCAATTCCAGGGATTCAATTCAGCTGCCTGTTTATAAGAGGAAGGACTCAAGATATTAGTTGACATAGATAGACATACATTTTGAAGCAGTTTTGTTTACTCGTATTACGTTCCAGTTGATTTTGAAGGCCCCCATTTTTCCACACAAACTTACTCTATATATTCACTTGTAATAAGCTTCTCTTCCACAGCAATTATAAGCAGAGAATAGAAAAGAAACAGACAGCATGTCTCAGTTTTCATCTCTGATATTTCCACCGCGTTTCTTCAAAATTTTCTTCTTCGTCTTCTACTTTTCATTTTTAGCCTATGCCACTGTCCCATCCTCCAAAACTTTCAAATACATCAATGAAGGTGAATTTGGGGAACTTAGTGTTGAATACTTTGCAGATTATCGTGCCTTGCCCATTTATGCATTACCCTTTCAACTTTGCTTCTACAACACCACCCCAAATGCTTTCACCCTTGCACTACGCATGGGCCATCGTCGTTCCGAGTCCCTAATGCGCTGGGTCTGGGCTGCCAATCGTGATAGGCCAGTTCATGAAAATGCAACCCTAAGCTTCAAGCGAGATGGGAACCTAGTCCTGACTGACTTCGATGGTACTATAGCATGGCAAACTGGCACCGCAAACAAGGGTGTCGTAGGTCTCAACTTGCTTCCAAATGGTAATTTGGTTTTGTATGATAAAAAGGGTAAATTTATTTGGCAGAGTTTTGATCACCCAACTGACACACTCTTGGTCGGTCAAAACTTACGATCCAATGGTCCAAATAGGCTTGTTAGTCGTGTCTCTAATATGGATGGCTCCCAAGGGCCTTATAGCTTTGTAATGGAGCAAAGGTATTGGGCTATGTACTATATGGTTAAAAATTCACCAAAGCCTTTGCTTTATTACAAGTCCGATGAGTTTGGAAATGGGCAAGGTTCATTGGCAAATCTTAATTTTTATTGCAAGCCCGAGTATGAACAGGCCTATGCTTTTGAGGTAGGATTTACTTACGACATGAAAAACTCTACTAGTTCTGGCACTTATATTTTGACAAGGCCAAAATATAATAGCACATACTCAATGCTACGCGTGGAATCTGATGGCAACTTGAAAATTTATACTTTCAATGAAAATGTGGTTTGGGGAGCTTGGGAGATGACATTCAAGCTCTTTGGTAGAGACAGTGATCGCGAAATTAGTGAGTGCAAGTTACCACAAAGATGTGGTTCATTAGGAATTTGTGAGGACAATCAATGTATAGCTTGCCCCAGGCCACAGGGGTTTTTGGGGTGGAGGAAGAGCTGTGCACCACCAGTGCTACCACCGTGCAAAGGCGGAGCCAATTTGGATTACTACAAAGTTGTAGGTGTTGAGCATTTCTTGAATGGGTATAATGAAGGAGAGGGCCCCATGAAGTTGGCTGATTGCAGGAATAAGTGCAACAATGATTGTGGGTGCTTGGGATTTTTCTACAAAGGGGAGTCTTCGAAGTGTTTGTTGGCTCCTGTGCTTGGTACTTTAGTCGAGGTTTCCAATTCTTCACATGTTGGCTATATCAAGATGTCCAAGTAGATTATTGAGGTTTGTCGAATTATTGAGATGAAATTAAAATAAAATGTGATGGGTAGTGTGATTGAACTTTGAATTTTGGGAATTATATATATATGGACATGGCGAATAATTAATATACATAGTATCATAGATTTTGTACATGCTATCCTTATTTGGTAGTACTTTCTCTATAACTTGAGTAAATATCTGAACTCGTTAATTTCCACAGTGAACAAACTATAACTTAAGTCGTGTTTGCAAAATGATACACATTAATTGCCATCGGCTGATAAAAATGATAATTGATTAGAAAAAAATTAATGTTTGGTTAATTAAATGATGAAATTAATAAGTAAACTCGTGAAGTTGAGTATCTAATTATGCCAAATAGATGAATTAAAAGCATAATTAGTAGAAATAGGTACTATTTAAGAACTAATTTTTAATAAAAAATTGTTTTGAGTTAATAGAAAAAATATAAGAAATTAATGATAATTTTAAAATAAAAATAAAAAATGATATATATATATATATATATATATATATATATATATATGAATGATGACGTGTTGTTCTGTCAACAAATTAATAATTTATATTTTCCTTACGGAACCTAACCATAATAGTGTAAATAGGGAAAGCAAGGGTCGAACCTACGGAAAAGTGACTTAATTAATGGTTTCTCTCGATTGATTGTTCCGTAATGTAAAAACGAGTAAATAGGTGGTTATGCTTGAGGTGTTTGTAAGTAATTAAAATAACTAGAAATAACAATAATAAGAAAGCCTTAGTTGAATTTTAGTATCTACTTTTGGTTTGGTAGCCGATTATCGATTCAATTATTAACCTATCCTTAACATAAATATTTACCGTAGAATAACAACATGTATATTGTTCTTAGTCTTTCCTTATTGAGTCATTAACCAAATACACGATACTCAAATAATTTTCTAGATATTAAACAACCTACTAGACGCTAGATAGATTTAATTTAATAACATTATTAATTAGAGAAAGACAGTGAAGCTAAACCACCATTGTAGATGCTAAAAAAATATAATCTAGTTCTATGTTTTCCAAGAGATTAAACGAAAACGTGAAAAATAATCATTAATCCTTAGTTATTACCACATGTAAGTTTAGAAAAGCAATTACATAAATTTCAATAATTAGCTAGCAATAGATTAGATGATTAAACAACTAACATGCACTCTAATCAATTTAATCACATAACCATAACCAAATCATTAAGATAAGTTTAGAGTTAAAACCTATAATCTCATAATGATTTAACTAAAACCTTCAATTTGATTCAACCAAAATGGATATTTAGTTATTCATAGCTAATTACAAAAGAAAGTTTTATATTTATGGTGGTCGCTCCAAGTTGGAATCTTGAAATAAAATCCTAATATCACTATTTATAGCTAAAAGGAAGTGTTACATCACACACATGTCGACCTTACATAGTCACATGATTTGCTTAGTAAAGATACATAACTTGTTCATCATTTCACATGGCTTGGAGCTTTGGAAGATCGGTGTTGCATGGTTTGATGGCATAGGTACACGATCGTGTGGGTTTGTTTTTCATTCCGTGTAACTTCCTTCCGCCCTCGTGGACTTCTTCCAACTTTGTGAGACACGAGCATGTCTCTCTTCAATGCATTTTGTGTGGAATGCCTTCGCCTATGTGCTACTTCTTTTCCTTTAAAAGGTGTTTTGGTTTTAACACATGCACGATCGTGTCACTTTTCTTAATTTTGGCCATATGGAAAGCTACTGTTCGTGTGGCTTTATTTTTTATCAATCCACACGGTTTCTTCATTAGTGTCACATGGCTGGTAGTTGTTTTCCTTTGTAAATGGCATGACCACCGTGACTCTTCTAAGCCTCTTTGGTGACTTTTCTTCTCCTTGCTTTGGTTTAGGGTTCCTTTGCTTCAATTCATCATTTTTCATATAAAACCCAAAATCGTTATCTTGATCTTAAATAACTGAACATAATACAATAAACACTAAAAATTTTAATGTAAAAGAGCATAAAAATCATGCTAATTATGCACTCATCAAATACCCCCACACTTAAACTTTGCTAGTCCTCAAGTAAAACAAATAAAACAAAAACCCAATTCATTTTCATAGGAATCACGATTACATTTAGCACATGGAGCAAGCCTTTAAACCCCTAGGTTACTCTTAGTGGAAGAGTTGTGTCTCATGAGGGTTTTCGACAATAAACTTATAAAATCACTTAAATGAATATCATGTCGAGTATAATTATCCTTCAAACATTGATACTCAATTCGGAATCCAATAAAATCCAATAATCAAATTGATCATTTTCAAGATATTTTTATCATGTCAATGTGTGTACGTAAATTGATTTATGCATTTTCATAATCAAACACAACTTAAGCATGCGACATTAATTTTGCCTTTAACCCCTTTCCATTACTACAAGCAAAATGATAAATCAAGATTTTCTTTGATCAAAAGTTTTTCTTTTTTAGCATCCCAATCTTTTTCAAGGCCTTTAATAGATTTTTCCTAAGCGATCACTTGCCTTTTATGCTACTATCAACATTTATGATGAAGGCAACAGATTACTTAGCAAGTCATCAACTTAAAGGGCTTTTGGCAACCGATTAATTAACAAGTGATCAACTTAAAGTGCTTTGCATATTTATAATTTGAACTCGTTGTTTAATGTAAAAGTAAATATTTGTGATGAATAATCGTAGAATTCTTACTTAATTATGCTAAAATTTTCCAATAAAATGCTTTTCAAATTTCTTTTTTAAATTTTCATAAAATTTAGAAAATCCTATTTATTTAAACCATGCTTAGGTCTAGTTTCAAATGGGTACTTGTAAAATCGATATTTCTACTTAAATCATGCTCAATTATAAAAAAACATAAATCTTTCTAGTATGCATGCACTTCTATAACAATAAAATCTCAAACGAGTCTCAATCATCTCATCAAATTTTGTCAAACTTCAATCAAGAAGAACATCATACTAAATTATGGCATTCATTTCATCTTTTTCATTTTTCAATTTTTTTTATTGGAGAATAACCTAAAAAAAAACATACAAAATACACAAACAAACATTATCCTCGATTTTCAATAGACTTGATCATAACAATATAAAATTAAAAGAGAAAGGGTTAGAGATAAAATCGTAGTAGTCAAAAAGGGTCGATGGAGACAAAAGAGTTAGAGACACATGCTTGTGTCCCTTTCTTTCTTAGGAAGTTGAAGTGGCAAGCGTGGGACACACGGATGTGTGTAAATTTAATGCACAAACTATGTGTTATGCTTCTACCTATGTCTTTTATGCTACTTTGGTATTTTAACACAACATGGAGTCATACGGGCCTGCTAGAATTATGCATAACATCCGTCTCGAAGCCACTCGTCCATGCTTTTCTTTTCCTCCAAAATGAACTATAGGATGTAAGGCTTTCATATGGGCGTGTCTTCATTGGTATGCAAACTATATGTCAAGCCATTGCCCATGTGGCCTCTATTCTTTCTTCTTTGTTTAAAATCAAAACAACATATGCTACCTTCATTCTCAATATCAAGTTAAGTATGAGGGTAATGTAAAGTAAAAAAATAACTTAAATATTATCATAAAAAATTTAAAATAAATTCATTGGGTTGCCTCCTAATAAGTGTATTTGTTTAACATCGTTAGCTCAATATTAGTACCTTTCGGTCTTCATACAAGTGATCCTCTACTATCATCACTTCCTTTTATTGTACTTGGAATTCTTCGTAGAGGGTTTTAAATCGATGGCCATTCAATTTGAATACCTTATTGATCTTCAAGCTTTGAATTTTAAGCTGTACCATAAGGAAACAAACTAGTGACAACGAAGGGTCCAACCCATCGAGAACGTAACTTACCCGAAAAGAGCTTAAATTTGGAATGAAAGAGGAAAAATTTCTATCCTACAACAAAATTCTTCCTAGCAATTATCTTATCATGAAATATCTTCATTTTTTTCTTTATAAATATTTGCATTCTCATAAAAGTCAAGTCTTAGTTCCTCCAACTCCCGTAGTTGTAGTTTTTTTACTCATCCGCTTCATCCATTCTCATTTTGCATTGTTTGATTGCCCAAAAGGCTTCACGTTCAATCTTCATCAAAAGATGACAAGTCTTGCCTCAAACCAAGTGATAAGGAGACATGCCAATTGATGTTTTGAAAGTCTGTTTGATATGCCTAAAGAGCATCATTAAGTCGCTTGCTCTAATCTTTTTGGGTTCACTGTTTTATCTAAAATAGACTTAATCTTTCTCTTCGATACTTTAGCCTACCCATTTATTTACGGATGATAAGTTGTAGATACCTTATGTGTAACATGATATTTCGTCAATAAATTTTCCATCACTCAATTGCAAAAGTACATACCCTTGTCACTAATCAATTCTTTTGGTGTTCCAAATCTAGCAAAAATATTAGTTTTGACAAAATCTATAGCAACTTTAGCATCATTAGTCCGGGTGGCTTTAGCGTATACCTAATTTGACACATAATCTACAGATCAAGATAATATGAACAAAACTAAATGAAAAGGGGAAGAGTCCTATAAAATCAATGCCCCATAAATTAAAAATTTCATAAGCAATTATAAGAGACAAAGACATTTGATTTTTATTAGACAAATTAACTTGCTTCGACATTGTTCACATATGTTGTAAAACATATAGGAATCCCAAAACAAACTTGGCCAATAAAAGCCACATTCAAGTATTTTCGTAACGATTCCGTTGGACTGAAAATATCCACTACAAGTATATACATGATAAAATATTAGAATAGATTCAAATTCATACTCGGACATACATCTTCTAATTACTTGGTCGGAGTAACATTTCCACAAATAAAGATCATATCATAAATAATATTTGACATCATTTTTTATTTTTTGCCTCTATGAGCTCTACTAAAACCAGTATGTATTTCATACTTTATCGGATAGTTTATAATATCGGCATACAATGGG